AGAATCACAGTCCTTAATGAGTATTTTACCAGTTTTAACAAGCAGCAATTATGAAGAGAGACCAAAACATTTCCCCCAAGGGAAAGAAAACCCCATGGTCCATAGGACTTCCACAGTTTCTTCCTCGTCACTTGGAGTCTTCATGTCCCGTAAAGTTTCTCCACATTAAGGCCAGTAAGTAATAAACGAAAATTTGTCAGCCATTCCAATTTGAGGCCTTAGACCTCACGCTTGCTCCCCTCTTCTTACAGCTGGAAACCAATGAGAATGAGCTACTTGGCCTCATGGAAAGAAAATGCTTGTTTTTGATAACTATAATAGCTACTTCTTTATATACATTATAACATCTAATCCTTATACTGAATTTGCCAATTTATAAATACGGAAGCTGAGGCTTAGAGAATCTTAAGTAGAAGAAATAAAAATCTAACTTACTTCAGTGTGGTTCTAAAGTTCATTCTTTGAGTGCTGTTTTCAATGTTAGTTGACTTTCCAAAAAGCAGAAGTATCATCATGCCTTTTTGCACTTGAGAATTTTTAAGTCTAGGTTTTCAAAACGTTTTCGACACAATATTCCTTATACATTCTTAAAAATAATTGAGTAACCCAAGAACTTTTATTTATATGGATCATATCTATTACATTTATTAAATTAGGATAAAAATGGAAATATTTTTAACTTATATAAAAACAATAATAAACTCAGTATATTAACAAATATATTTTAATGAAAAGACACTATTTTCCTAAACAAAAATTTATTAAGAGGGGCACTGTTTTTACATTTTTTTAAATTTCTTTAATGTCTGGCTAAACAGAACATAGTTGGACTCTCGCATCTGCTCTGTGTCCAATCTGTCACCATATCACACATTATACAGCCTCTGGAAACCTCCACAATATGCTCATCAGAGAAGGCAAGTAACACTTAGTATTAGTTTCCTAGGGTTGCCCTAACAGTGCCCCAAGTCAGGTGGCTCAAAAGAACAGATATTCATTCTTTCACAGTTCAAGAGGCTAGGGGTCTGAAGTCCAGGTGTGGGCAAGGTTGATTCCTTCTGGAGACTTTGAAGCAGAGTTTGTTACATGCCTCTCTCCTACTACTTGATTATGCCAGCAATCCTTGGTGTGTCTTGGCTTATAGCTGAATCACTCCAATGTCTGCCTATCTCAAATGACATTCTTCCCTGGGTATTTCATTTTGTCCCATCTGTGTCCCTGTCAGGCCAAGCTGGCAGGGTTTCTGCTGATAGAACTTTCTTAAACGTCAGTCTTCTGTGGACATCAAGGCAAACCATGCCAGTACACATCAGTGTGCTCCACAGATCTCTCAGTGATAACCGCATCTCTATTCCTGGCTTCTGCGGAGATGGTTGATTTGTTACCTAAGGTCACAAACTTAATCTCTCCAGCAGGTTTCCAGCCACACCTACTGTGATCTCTCCAGAGCATGCCTTAGCATCTTCTGCAATAATGGCCAAGACTGTGAATTCTCCAAATCATCATGTTATGGTTCCTTTTTGTTACTCAGATCCTTCCTCAATTTATTACTCTCCTCTTGCATTTTTACCATAAGCAGCAAGAAACCAGGCCACGTCTTCCATATTTTGCTTGGAAACCTCAGCTAAGTATTCATATTCACTGTTTACAAGTTCTACTTTTCACCCAAAAGCAGAACATAATTCAGCCACGTCTCCTGTTACTTTATAACAGTGATCACTTTGCCTTCAGTGTCCAGTAACAAGTTCTTCATTGGAGTTCTCACCAGAGGCAACTTTAACATTCACATTTCTATCAACATTTTGTTCACAATGATGTAGAAGTTCTCTGGAATGATAGAAGCTTTCTTTACTGTCCCCGACACTTACTTTTAAGCCCTCATCAAAAGTGCTTTTGATGTCCACATTTCTACCAACAGTCTCTGAGGTAATCTAGACATTTTCTACCATGTGGCTCATAACTCTTCCAGCCTTCAAGAATTACCCAGTTCCAAAGCCACTTCCACAGTTATAGATATTTGTACAGCACCACCTTCCCCCAACTCTGTATCAAAAATCTATTGGTTTCCTGGGGCTGCCACAGCAAATTGCCACTAACTGTGTGGCATAAAACAACAAATAGTTACCCTCTTGCAGTTTGGGGAGCCAGGGGTCTGAAACCAAGGTTTGGGAGGGCTGGTTCCTTCTGGAGGCTGAGGGAAAGCTTGTTCCACGCTCTCCTAGCTTCTGGTGGCAGCCGGAATCCTTGGTGTTCTCGGTTTGAGCTGCAGCACTCCAGTCCCAGTCTCTGCCTCCTTCCGTTGTACATGGCCCCTTTCCATTACCCCAAACTGAAAAATGGTCAAGTTTGCATCTCCAACTGGACAATTTTGAAAACTATGGAATACCTTTCAGATTCCTAATTCTTATTGGCACTAATCTAAATCAAAAGTAACTTCATGAATCCACCTAATAGATATCTAAATGATGTTGCTTTTATGTCTTTGTTTATATTTTCACAGAATTAATGAGTTTAAGACTATTGTACTTACTCATTTTAAAGATAAACATTTATTATAAAGATTTTCTGCAACATCACCCAGTGCTGACAGATAACATTTTAGTCTGTTTCTTTCCAATCTCTTCTACTTTATGTATATTGTGACCATTCTATATTTTTGTGTCTCACACAGTAACAATAGTAACATATTCTATGTTTACTCTAAGCCAGTAAGCACTTCATACTAAGTCGTTGATGGTAGGCTATTGTGCCTATTTTAGAGATGAGGAATCTGAAACCAGATTAGATAATGTGCTCTATAAAAGCTATTTGTTATCTGTTGCTAAGTAACAAATTACCCCAAAACTTAGAAGCTTAAAGCAACAAATGTTTATGATCTCATAGCTGATGTGGCACCCAGACACAGCTCAGGTGGGCGCTCTGGCTTAGGGACAATCTGCTTTCAGCTCACTCAGTTGTTGGCAGGATGCAGGTCCTTGCCATGTGGGCTTTTCAGGGCAGCTCCCAACCTGACAGCTCGGGTCATCAAAGCAAACAAGAAGAGCCTGACAAAATGTGAACAAGGCAGAATTCACAATGTTTTATGACCTAATCTTGGAAGAGACAGCCCATTCTCTCTGCTGTGTTCTATTTCAGAACTAGTCACTAGGTTCAGCCCACACTCAAGGGAAAGGGATTACACAAGGACAGCCAGCACTAGGCCCTAAAATCAGGCTGGTTACTGTTGGACCGTGTGTGTGCTCTGCCCTAAAAACATATCAGAGCTGTTCTTGGATCCCACAATACCTCAGAAATATGAAGTGTCAGGGCTTAGAACATAAGGTGGTTTTACCCTTAAAAACCTGTCTTATCTCAAAACTCACGGTCTTCAGTTGGGAGGAAAGGGGGCAGACTGGGTATATAGGCCGGCTGGCTTCTTCCCAGCCCCTGCCTGCTGTGGCCTGGAAAGGCTATGCTGAGCAGGCTCATCAGTACAGCTGGTGAGCGAGTGGGGCCCTAGGTGCAGTCCTGCGCCAAGCAACAGACATCACCATCTCCTTGGTCACTGTCCCTACATTCTGATAGGTTTACTAGATTTTGGGGGTATAAGATATGAATTCTGACACTTGCTACTGAGAAACTATTTAATACCGAGTATTACCAAGCACCTGACTTCCAGTCAGGGAATCTCAAAATTGTTAAGCGTATCTTCTTCACACGGAGATAAGATACATATATGTGTTTATGTATACACATATAAATATGTATGTGTAGTTTATGTATAAAGTTTATACATGGCATGTATATTTATGTATGTATACATAAATTATCCATGTGTATATATTTATGCATATATATACTTTGATATTTTATATATATATTTTTAATAAGCTTAGATATTTTACTCCTGATAAACTTCTTATTGATGAGGATTTTCTTTATGACACTACAGGCTTCTATGGGTAACATGGCATCATTTGCAAGAGATACTATTCATTAAATTGTTTCTGTACTAAAGATTAGCCAATGGCTGGCTAGGCAAATAAATGCTGACATGACTAGTAATCTACTTGACTTAAAATTTAATTTCAACTCACTGGTTAACCTCAAACATATAGGGTTAAGGAGTTCCAAGAATAGTGGCCACAAGTTGTAGCTCAATTACTATACACATCACTTCATCTATCACAAGTTCTCCTTCTCTCTGATTAGTATAATTCATCAGAGAGAAAACCTTTAAATCCCCTGGTATTGTTAATCTTAAAAGGGGGCAATCTTTGGGAAATCACTTTTAAAACATATTCACATAGAGTGCCCTCCTGGAATTTGTTTTGGTTTGAAAACCATCAAAAACACTAATGGCAAATGCTGCAATTTCTTTATGAATAACTCCAAGAAGCACAAACATGATATGGATTCTGCCTTTTGTTCACTCAAGAATTAAGGTATCTTTCCAGAATTAAGTACCTAACTCCTTTCCCTGGTGGCAGGTAGCCATCTCCAGAAAAGGCTGAGTCTTCTGACTGTGAAGCTCCTAGAATCCCCCACACTCCATACTATGCATCAGAAACTCTTGCCAAAATTCTCTTTACTGTTATTTTGCCCAACAAGTAATACCACCATATTCCTCATCTCACATCAGTGTTATGGTTAGAATAATAACAGATTTGTGGTTTGGGATAGATAGAGCCATGCCACAGAAGAGCAGCTCTGAGATTGGCAAGCAAATGGTAGCAGAACACAACTTGGATGAAATGAACAAACTCATAGAAAGATTCAAACTACTGAAACTGAGTCAAGAAGATAGAGAACATCTAAATAGAACTATAACAAGGAGTTCAGTTAGTAATTTAAAAACTTCCCACAAAGAAAAATCCCACGCCCAGAAGAATGTGTCAGTTTCTTTTCCTGAAACATTTCCACCTCCCCAAATCCCTACCATACAGATATATGTGTGCATATATGTGAATATCTATGGTGTAATGATCACTCAGAAGCCCAACTAAGGCATCTCAGCCTGATTATGCTTCAATTAAAACAACTCTTTTATTTAGAGAAGTATAAACAATTGGCAATGAGGATACTTTTATATACAGATATAACAACCTGCAAGAGGTTAACTTTAAGGAGATTGTTCTAGGCAATTTTTATGGTTCCTTTCGGCTCTCTAATTTCCCCTCTGCGTTTAGGGGCAGAGGACAATCAATCCTGCACCTGATTATGTCAGTAGCAGGTAAGACCTAATACAAAGAGTAACAAATCTTCTGCCATAAAAGAAATAAAAACTTCTGAAATGTTAATTTCAGCTCTAGTGAAACAAATATGTAGTTTAAAAAGTTCTTTGCTCCCTGCTAGAATATAAACGGAACAACAACTGCAAGACTCAATCTTTGAGGACACAGGGTGATTTTAAACTAATCTTGTGGACAAATTCAAGAAAGGGAACCCACAGTCCAGGCTGGAATTCCCCCCGGCAAAGCTGGGACCCACACCCTGAGGCCTTCTGCAACACAATTAAGTATGACACCAATTCTGCTGCTTAGTTTACAAGTCCTTTTAAATAAAAAGTAAAGAAAGGCACCACTTTTCAGTTGTAACTTAAAATTAGCTTCTCCCTCTTTTTCCTCTTCCGCTTCTTCTCTTCTAAGTGGCTGGTAGCATCAGCAAAAAACATCACTTCACTTTTTGCTTCACATTCCCTCCTGAGGTAATCAAGACCTGCCATATTGAAGCCGATAACATCCTGGGGAGGAATGCAAGAAAGATTAAACAAACTGTCTCTCTCTTCAGTTCAGTAGAGCAGCTTATGTGAGTCAGGGCGACCAGCGCTTCAGGTGTTGCTACTCATTTTTCCCTAAGGTCTTTTCTTGTTTTTTCCTATTTCAGCTCCAACTAAAATCTTCTCAAATACAGATGTACTTCTGGTCAATATCACCAAAGATGGGGCCCAGAACACCACGCTACTTCTCAGACCCACACACACACCAGGATTTGCCGCCTCTTCTTGTCTTTTTACAAATATACTTACTCGGACTTGGCTGACTTTTGAAATAGTTGTTTCTTTTAATTTTTCAATCACTGGCACAAGCATTTGGTTGCTAGTGATCTGCCCAAAGTGAATCCTAATAGAAAAATAAAAGAGAGTCATGTTACAAAGAGGGATAGTGGTTCTGGCTCTAGTTATCCCTTTTACAATAACAGAGAGACACAGCATCAAAAAGATTCATTTTATCAGATCATGGAAGTATAGAAATGCTTCTGGCAAAAAAAAAAGCTCAAGAAGTTTCTTCTTTGCTATTCAGTTCTGATTATAATTTTTAAAATACTATCCTAAACCTCTTGACAGCTTCAACTCATTTGCAAAGCTGACTCTTTTCCCAGCAATCTACCAGGTGGCCACAGGTTTTGACAATATTTTATGGAAAGCAAAGGGAGAAAATAATTTTCTTTTTAAGAAATGCTAACTCAATTAAAATTTATCAATATATCTAATAAAGCAACAGCAAAAAAGAGACAATTGTTAATCATAGTCAAGCTCTGACTTAGAGTGCCAAGATGCCCTTGATGAACTCATGCTTCTGTCATCTCCATGTTCACCCTCACTCTCAATAGGGACCTGCTACCTCTACCCGTGAGGCAGTAACCATCTGCAACCCTCTGACAGGCTGGAAGTATTTGTGGTATTTCTGTTAGAATCAGTAACTCTGATTTAATAGCACCATATACCACAGTGAAAAATTATAAGTAATACTGTTAAGTGTGAATTCATGTCCTTCTAACTGCCCAAAATTATACATATGGCAACAAAATAATATATCAGTGTTCTTCTTTTATTCTGATAGAATAAAAGGAATAGAGAGTTTAAAATCATGCAAACCATTCGAGTCACCAAATATCAATTCACTAAATACACCTGTTTTTTAACTATTTGGTATAGGCTGACCAGTTTATTTTGTCTTCAAACAGCATTCTAAGGAATGTTCAATTTGTCTCTATTGCTGTCCTCTGCTATAACAGCTTGAGACTGAGGGACAGAGACTGGGAAATAAGAAGAAAATATTCTAAAGCTTTTGTAATATGTTCTTCTCCATTACATAGTAACAAGAATTCTCCATATTTAAGAATATGATCTAATGAAAATATCTTCTTCGTTTCTTGGCTCCCAACTTTTCCATCTGTACGGATACCAGCCTGGGGAAAACCCACTATTCGTTAAAATGCTGTTAGTAGGACAAAACAAAACCATTTGCTTAAACTAAGGAGTTAAATGGAAACAACAAATGAGGCAAACTAGCCATTCAGCAATGGGCTTTCCTCAAACTGACTAGACCCAGAGCTACTGTGTTAGACTGAGTCCTCGGGACCTATACCTGGCTAAGGAGTTCTGAGCAATGTACTGACTCTTACTACTTAAATATGTGGGTCATCACTACCACTGCTTTTCCTTGATTCCAAAGGACAGTAAATAATAAATCATTCATGTTAGACAGCAGTGAAATTCTGTAAGTCTCTGAATCTGAAACATTAGATTTCTTAACCCCAAAGTGCTGACACCTTCAGTTAAAGTAGTACTAGAGCAGCTATGCTGAGTAGATGTGGTATTCTTTAGAAAAGGACGTTACCTGAGGAGAAAGAAGAGGCATCTACACATCAGTTCAACATCCAAGCCCAGCTGGATGAATTCATTGAAGAGCTTAAGAATGTCTGGGACGTAAGAGAAAGGCAGCACAAGCAGAGATTCTTCCAGCTCACTGAAGAAAAGAACAAACATGACATTTCTTAACATGGCCAAATTTTAAATCTTTTCCTCTACTATTTTTCTCTTCCGCTTTTACACTTGAACTTACCCAAAGTTACATATTCATTTTTTTTTCTGGCTAGATCTCTCTTCAATGTTTTATTTTTTATATGTAATATTTTAACTATTTGACACATTCTGATCCATGGCATGGTAGGAGAATCTTTTTTTTCCTTCCAAATAACCAATTTCTCCAAAGTCTTTCAAGTCTGTTCTGATGATTGATTGATTCTGAACACAATCTTGTGTTATTTTAATTTTGCTAATTTTCTAGCTTTTAAAACTAGAATAGCTCCCTCTGTTGTTCTGGTTTGTTTTGTTTTACCTTTCTGGAACTAGTTCTAGTACCATTTCATCAATTCCAATTAGAAATCTCAAGAGAATTTCAACTGGGATCATAAACCTATAAATTAGTTAAAAAAAAACTAGATCTTTAAACACAGAATCTTCCCATCTAAGAATGTATAGTTCCTCAATTAATCTAGATTTTTACATTCCTCTAGGGAAGTTTCCTCATTGTCCTTCCATAGGTCCTGTTTATTTCTTGTAAGGGATATATTTAGATATTCAGAACTGTTAAGAAAATGTAACTTTTAGTAGGTCAAACTCACAAATAAACCAAAAGCTAAGTCACAAACAAGAAACATTTCAAGAATAATACAAAAAACAAGCAATTCTTGAAAACTAGTAAGAGAAACTATTAGAGAGCAAGGCAGAAAGGGAAAGTAAAAATTCACGTGAGAAAATACAAACGGGAAATATAAAATTTTAATTCTGTTAAGTATCAAAAGAAATTAAAATATACAATACTACCTTTTGCCTCTCAAACTGGCAAAGGATTTTTAAAAGCCTGGTTAAAATCAGTACAAGCACTCTGGAAAGTAATTCAGGAACACAAACCCTTACAAAGCTTCTGTCCACTGATCAGTTACTAGACTGCTAGAACTCTCTTTGGAAAAATAATCAACATGACGACAGAGGCGTCTACATACAGGGATTCACAGAAGGAGCTGGGATCACAGCAAAAAACAAAAGCAACATTCAATAGTAATTATTCATACAATGGAATATTTTTAATTAACCCAGTGATGTGTTCTGAAGAAAGTTAATAACAGGAGTAAATGCTCAGGACATTACGTGAAAAAGGACAGGATACAAAATTGTGCATTCAAATAAACCAAAAGCTAAGTCACAAACAAGAAACATTTCAAGAATAATACAAAAAACAAGCAATTCTTGAAAACTAGTAAGAGAAACTATTAGAGAGCAAGGCAGAAAGGGAAAGTAAAAATTCACGTGAGAAAATACAAACGGGAAATATAAAATTTTAATTCTGTTAAGTATCAAAAGAAATTAAAATATACAATACTACTACCTTTTGCCTCTCAAACTGGCAAAGGATTTTTAAAAGCCTGGTTAAAATCAGTACAAGCACTCTGGAAAGTAATTCAGGAACACAAACCCTTACAAAGCTTCTGTCCACTGATCAGTTACTAGACTGCTAGAACTCTCTTTGGAAAAATAATCAACATGACGACAGAGGCGTCTACATACAGGGATTCACAGAAGGAGCTGGGATCACAGCAAAAAACAAAAGCAACATTCAATAGTAATTATTCATACAATGGAATATTTTTAATTAACCCAGTGATGTGTTCTGAAGAAAGTTAATAACAGGAGTAAATGCTCAGGACATTACGTGAAAAAGGACAGGATACAAAATTGTGCATGACTCCAACTGTGTATGTAACACAGAAAGCAAGCCAAAGGAAATATACAACAAAACAATGAAACAATGTTAACAGTTGGTACTATTCTTGCATCAAATTACAGATAATTTTATTACCTACAATGTAAAGTAGCACCATCCCTTCATTTGTCCTTAAAAATACCTCCCTTCGTATTTTAGGAGCCTCCTAGTTCTACTTTAAAATGAACACTCTAACAAATTATTTTCCACCAAAATTTTGACTGTTATATCTATATGAAAGATAACCATCAATTATATTTTTACTTATCTCATGTTCAGACAGGCATTTGGTTGTTAGCTGACAAATTATAACAATTGTGCACTGGGACTCACCTTGACTTGATTCCTTTAAAAATCTCCAACACATAAGCTGAAGGCTATAAGGGAAGCATAACAGTATTAGTGGAACTCTTTGTTGCTTCCCACCGACAGTCTCTAACTTCCATCTCCTAAACACTGGGGATCCCTCTCTCTCACATGAGGAACAGTGTTTTAAAATGGCAATACGTGGATGGGTTTAGAGTCAGTCAGATCTGGATTTACAGTCCAGTGCTGTCACTTACCAATTGTGCTGCCTTTTATCTGTAAGCTGGGCCAGTTTCCTATCTATGAGATGAAGATACTCGGACTCACATGATTATTGTGATGCCTAATACATGCATGTAAGGTTCTAAGTAAATAGAGACTGCTAGAAAAGCATTCATTGTCCATGACTCTCCTTCTCCTTTATCTGACTGATTAATGTCAACTTTTCCTCCAAGAACTTCAATTTCAAAGTAGATGAACAGAATCTCAGATGGCTTTAGATACTGAACATAAATTAGCACTAGAATATAGAAGAATGCCAGTTGAGTCCAACCAAAAAGGATGACTTGGAAGTTACATTAAAATGGTACTTTTGAAATACAAAATATACTAGAGGATTCCATCATTCAAGAGAGATTCTTTTTAATGACAAAAGTTTCCTAATACATCCATCCTCAAACCATGTCTCTTCACTTCCTCTCTTATCACTGAAAGTAACCTTTGAATAGCCAAGAGGAAAACTGTTGGTCTACTCACAGAGATGTTGCCATAAGCCATCAGGATGGGGTTGATGGGAAGAGGAACCTATGAAGAAATTATTACCTCAGGTCACTAAAGAACAAAACTCTGATAGCGCTTGTCATACGCAGGATGATAACAGTATTTTAGTTTTGAAGAGAGAAAAGAGAGACCCTAAAAACTGAAAGAATATGAAAGACCTATCAGGCCTTTTAGTTTCAACAGCGCTTACGAATGAGTGTGGGGCAATAGTTGCAACTACGAATGCATGACTCGGTTACCTTACCTCCCAAACCCAAGCAGGAACATGAGTTTCTACCCAATACAAAAATCATCCCAATCTATAATTCTCTATCTTACACTTTTTATTAAGACCAAGCTTCTTCCCTTCCATAGTTCCTCAATTCCTTCTAATGTTTGAATTAGAAAAGATTCTATTACATTTATCTCATTTCCTGATCTGAGTTAATAAATCCTAAAACAATGGTTTTCTCTTCAGGACTTGTCTCTACTTATAAATGTTTCTTAGAGCATAACATAATGGACTGTCTTACCTCTTTCCCTGCAGCTTTGCAAATGGCTTTGTGCTCTTCCATTTTTGCAGTTTCTTCCCGATATAGCTCAACAGCCTCCATGATCCTCTCAGCCTACAGATGACAAAGGACAGAAATCATCACAACACATTCCATTATCCCAGAACACTGCAACTGGAAGGCCTGTCTAGAAAATCACCAAATGAAATAGCCCGAATTGACTTAATAAAGATGTACCAGTAGAGTGCCAAACAACATTTAAAGACATCCTTGGTTTTTTTTTTCTTTTTTTAATGTATAAGGAAGAGACTAAATGTGGAAACAGGTGAGACTGTGTGTGGACACCTTGAATAGAGCAGCTCCCAGGAACATCTGAATGATGCTTTCAGGAGATGAAGCTTGCCTTTCTAGAAACCATGCACTGATCAAAGAGATTCAGCACTATTCGTGTCCTTGGTTAAGGGAGGGAAGCAGAGGTTATGATCTCTGTAAATTTCATCAATTTTTTGCCACAAAAGAGCTATTGGGTTGATAAAGACTTGTACTAAAAAGTTGGGATCCTATTTAAAAACAAGATACTACATCCTTTATCAACTTACTGCTTTGACGGTTTCAATGGTTTTCTTTCCAGTAAAATAATTGTCACCTTGAGTCTCTCCTGGAACCTGCCAGATACAAAGAGATCCTTGAACAATATAACTGACAAGCATTAAAGAGCCGATAAATTAATCTTACATTCAGAAAAGAATAGGCATTTCTATGTTATAATAATGGTAGCATGGTGTTATTAGCTATCATTAATGGAGTACTAAGTACTGGACACTATGTTTTTATACACATTATCATAAGAATACCCTGCTCTACAAATATTTAAAGAGAATGCCCAAATTCTCAATTTTTTCTGATTTTTTTTTCCAATAGTGAAATAATTCCCTGGAGCCTCTTTACAAAAGAAAAAGCTAGAATGACAATCATTCAGTAGCAAATCTGGCCAATCATTTGTCCTGTGAAATCAGGACATACAGTTGAATCAAAAAGAACTACACAGATCCGTTCTATATCAACTGGTGAGGACTATGACATCTAGCCCCAATTCTAATTCCACTAGAAATTCTTGGAATTACAGTAAATTCCAATAAGATAACTACAGGCCACAATCTCACAGTCCCAAAATATTTACTTACTGCTGGTTGGTCTTCTTTGGCCACACTCTCCTCATATTCTGCTTCCCTTTGCTGCCAAGACATAGATATAAATGAACTTGAAAGAAAAAACATGGTCTCTATGTGAAGTGAAATGAGACAGTGAGAAGCTACTTTTAAAAATACAATCCCCTAATAGCACATCTGTGGTGACGGGAGACTGGAAACATCTCCTGCAGGTTCTTGGACTTGTACTGACTGAGGTGTGACCGCACTAGACGGCAAACTTTAGCTGGCACAGTGTGTCAGACACACACCAGCGTATTTCTAACCAGGCCTAGAACCTTACCATTTCCCTTTCATCCTCAAGGATAAGAGGCTCTCTCGTTCTCTCCCAAACTCTCAGAGATTTGTCATGGGATGATGACACAACATAGTCCCCACTTGGGCTTACAGCCAAGCTCCATATTTCCTTGTGGTGCCCCTGGAAAGGGAAAAAAATGTGACACCCTAAGTAAGAAAACCTTATTAATAAAGAGCTACCTTCTTACATTAGTGGGAGATCAACACTCAATATTCAAAGTACTTTGCTTATGTACTGAGCAAAACAGGCAAGAAGTCACCTCCAGGGTCTGTATGTGTTCAAACTTGTCCGCATCCCATTGCTTAATCTTATGGTCCTTCCCAGCAGTGAAGAAGAGGTGAGACTTGGGTACGAACCGTAGGCACATCACACTAAAAATCGAGAAGTACGCAAATGTCTTTCACCAAGTTTCACCTTAATGAAAAGCTTCACTCACATAAAGAGCTTCTGAACAGCTAGTTCTAGAGTGTTTGATTATTTACATGTGAGAATTTTCAATTTGTGACTGCTGGAGAACACTAAATGTTCAAGGGAAATGATACGGACAGGTGACTCAAAGGGAGGTTTTGAAAGGACTGCACTTACCTGTCGTCATGTGCAAAGAGAGACTTGTGGCAGTCCCCGAAGTCCAGGCCCCAGATCTTCACATTCCTGTCGGCAGAGCCAGTTGCTATGAGTGCTCCATCCTATGTGGAAGGGAAGGATGACATGACTTGTTATCTGAAACTCTGTAAATTAGGTTAAGAAAAGCTAACCACAATGTTTAACCCAATTTTTTCAAAAACATTACAATCAATGCCAAAAAAGTAACTTCATCTCTACCAAGAAAGAGGGCCTACTTCTTTGCTTTTACCTAAAGATCTACTTAAAAAGCTTGTTAAAGTGAAATCAGGAACCTGTGGCTTAAGTGATGATGTACTGCTAACAGGGCAGCATGATGCCTGATGTAGATTATCTATTCACTTTGTTAAACAAGAAAAAAAATCTCTAATCTCTGTCACAGGATTTGTGGGGAGAGAGGAAGAGGGAAAGACAGGAAACAATGAGTCTGGGAAAAAGTATTAGAATGTTTATGTCCTAGCCTTTTATCCCATGTTTCTTATTACTGCTGCTCATAGCTTTCCTATTTCAATGTCTAGTTCAAATGGTGTCAACATAACAAGAAAATTGGAAACATTTTTAACGTCAACTTCATCTATCAATGGACTGATTATTGACAGCTAGAGCACAGGTCTAATTCCTTTTACAGACGAGACAATGTTTTTAAATATATATGGTCATGCCTAATCATAATAAGACATTGCAAAAGTATGATTTTGGTCAAGAGACTGAAAGTACAAATAGTGCAAAATATCATAAATATCCAAATATAAAAAGAAGTTTCATCTTCCTCATGAATTTTATCCTTTAGCACAAAGGGGGTTGCCTTTTAAAAAGTCTTTCGTATTTTAGAGTGCTCTACCAATTAGAGCATGTTAGACAACTAAATACTATTTGGGGAATCCATTGTGAGGATTAATTCAGGTATTTGAGAAAATATTCTGAAAGCATTAAAGCAATACGTATACTTGAGGTTTAATATATATGTTTTTTATTATTAATTAATTTATTTATTTTGTTGTCATTAATCTACAATTACATGAAGAATATTATGATTACTACGGTTCCCCCTTAACCAAATCCCCCCTACAATACCCATTACAGTCACTGTCCATCAGCGTAGTAAGAGGCTGTAGAATCACTACTTGTCTTCTCTGTGTTGCACAGCCCTCCCCGTGCCCCCCACATTATACATGCTAATCGTAATGTCCCCTTTCTTTTTCCCCACCCTTATCCCTCCCTTCCCTCCCTTTCTCCCCAGTCCCTTTCCCTTTGGTAACTGTTAGTCCATTCTTAGGTTCTATGATTCTGCTGCTGTTTTGTTCCTTCAGTCTTTCTTTGTTCCTATAGTCTTTGGGTTTGAGGTGAGTCTCTTGTAAGCAGCATAGAGATGGGTCTTGTTTTTTTTATCCATTCTATTATTCTGTGTCTTTTGATTGGTGCATTCAGTCCATTTACATTTAGGGTGATTATTGAAAGATATGTACTTATTAGATTCATGGTTGCCAAAGGTTCAAGGTTAGCTTCTTTAGTATCTTACTGTCTAACTTAACTCACTTATTGAGCTATTTTAGACACTGTCTGGTCATTCTTTATTTTTCTCCCTTCTTATTCCTCATCCTCCATTCTTTATATGTTGGTTGTTTTATTCTGTGCTCTTTTGTGCTTCCTTTAACTGCTTTTGTCGGTAGTTGATTTTATTTTTTGCCTTTAGTTAGTATTTGGTTGGTCTGCTTTCTTTGCTGTGATTTTATTTTCTCTGGTGATATCTATTTAGTTTTAGAAGTGCTCCCATCTAGAGCAGTCTCTCTAAAATACCCTGTAGAGGTGGTTTGTGGGAGGCAAATTCCCTCAACTTTTGCTTGTCTGGGAATTGTTTAATCCCTCCTTCATATTTAAATGATAGTCGTGCTGGGTACAGTATTCTTGGTTCAAGGCCCTTCTCTTTCACTGCATTAAGTATATCATGCCATTCTCTTCTGGTTTCTGTTGAGAAGTCTGATGTTAGCCTGATGAGTTTTCCTTTGTAGGTGACCTTTTTCCTCTCTCTAGCTGCCTTTAAAACTCTGTCCTTGTTCTGGATCTTTGCCATTTTAATTATTATGTGTCTTGGTGTTGTCCTCCTTGGATCCTTTCTGTTGGGAGTTCTGTACACTTCCATAGTCTGATCGATTATTTCCTCCCCCAGTTTGGGGAAGTTTTCAGCAATTATTCTTCAAATACTCTTTCTATTCCTTTTTCTCTCTTCTTCTTCTGGTACCTCTATAATGCAGATATTGTTCCTTTTGGATTGGTCACACAGTTCTCTTAATATTGTTTCATTCCTGGAGATCCTTTTATCTCTCTCTGCATCAGCTTCTATGCATTCCTGTTCTCTGGTTTCTATTCCATCAATGGCCTCTTGCATCTTATCCATTCTGTTTATAAACCCTTCCAGAGATTGTTTCATTTCTGTAATCTTCCTCCGGACTTCATCCCTTAGCTCTTGCATATTTCTCTGCATCTCCATCAGCGTGGTTATGAGCTTTATTTTTAATTCTTTTTCAGGAAGACTGGTTAGGTCTATTTCCTTCTCAGGGTTGCCTCTGTGATCTTGGTCTGTATCAATTTCTTCTGCCTCTTCATGGCGATAGATATATTTGTGGGGAGCTGGCGCGTGTGTTGGGTAAGAGAAAGTCCCATCTTGCCAGTTTATGGCCTTCCTCTCCTGGGAGAACAGTGGCCTCTAGCGGCTTGTGCTGGGCAGCTGCGTGCAGACAGGGCTTCTGATCTTGCCCAGCTGCTATGGAGTTTATTTAGCTCTGCAGTTGCTGTGGGCATGGCCGGCCTCAGGCTGCTGCTCCAATATGGCGGAGCTGCATCGGAGGGGGAACAGGTGGGAGGCTGTTTATCGCGGTCAGGGGCCTCCAAGCTGCACTGTGGGGGTTCAGGCACCTAGAGCTCCCTGAGGTTCGTAGCTGCTGGGCTAAGTGTCCCAGGGCACGTCCGTCCAGCTGTGGGGTCCCTGCCCCTTTAAGACTTTCAAAAAGCACTCGCTTTTCTTTGTCCCCAGGGCGCCGGCTGCAAGGACCCACTCACAGGTCTTACTGCCCTGTTTCCCTAGTGTCCAGCACCCCACGTGTGCACTGTGTCTGCGCTCTGGTCCGGATGGCTAGGGCTGGGTGATTAGCAGTCCTGGGCTCCCTCTACCTCTCCGCTCTGACTCATCTCCTCCTGCCGGGAGCTGGGGTGAGGGGCCTCGGGTCCCGCCAGGCCAGGGATTGTATCTTATCCCCTTCGCGAGGCGCTGGGTTCTCCCAGGTGTGGATGTAGTCTGGATGTTGTCTTGTGTCTTCTGGTCTCTCTTTTAGGATTAGTTGTATTTGTTGTATTTTCAAAAATATATTTGGTTTTGGGAGGAGATTTTCGCTGCTGTACTAACGCCGCCATCTTGGTTCCTCTATATATAAATTTTTTTTTGGGGGGGGGAAGGTTACATGTATAGCAATAGAAAAATACTCCCAAATGAAGATATCAAGCCAAGAACTAAGAGTGTGCTTTAGAAAAGACAACTTGTTACTGAGATATTATTTTAATTTTACTTACATAAGAGATGTCCATGCATATAACAGGCAGTTTGTGTCCATATAGTGAGAGAAAAAACTAAACATTAAAAAAAAAGACCAAAAGTATAATTTATGTCAGTCTATAAAATACAGGCATATTTTTATTGCATGTGGATCTAAAACAGAACTTATGCAGTGCTAAATGCTGTCATGGATTGCTTTAGGTCTGTATCACGAAAGACACAAGCTTCGGAAGGCAGCTAGGATCTATGAGCAGCACACAGCTGCCAAGAACCTTACAAGGACATTGCCACATAGTGGAGCAGGGATGCCGCCCTGGAGGCCCAGTGCCTCACACAGAATACAGCACAGAGATGCTCTCTGGATCTCAGCTGATGAGGCTCTGGAGTACTGGTTTCACAATATCCCCAGGTCCAATCCAGTCCCACTGACTCTATGTATAGGGCCCCAGGAATCTAAATTTTAAAGGCAACCCAAATGACCCCTATGTAAGGAATCATGCCCTGGATACCCAGTAGTGCTCTTAAAACTACTGGCTATGGCAGAATTGTCTGTCCTTGGATTTTCTGAACATATGAAATATAACTTTGTTCAAACAAAATTTATGAACCAAAGGACTCTTTTAAAACTCTAGAAACATACTCCTGCTAGGTACAGTCAAGACCACTTCATTATAGTCTCAACACAAGATCACTCAGAAAGAAAATATTTCAGGCATAACCACTGTACCTTTAAAGTGTCAACATAGAAAACTTTCACAGTACAGTCCAGCAAAGACACAGCCAACAGCTTTTGATTGGGGGAGTAACTGACACACAGAACATCTTCATCTAGTTGCAAGATTCTGGTTTGTTTCACAGAAAGCCTAGCAACAAGAAAAAAATAATGAGTGCTCTACAAAGGCAGACCAAAATTCCAAAAACTCCTTGAAGCTCAACAGAAATACATATGTCAAAAGCTCATTCAGTCATTCCCCATTTTCACTCCAAAAAGTGGACACAAATAAAAAATGTCTACTTACCTCTTTTGGGTACTATTTTCATCTTTCACCAACTCAAAATCCCAGAACTTGACAGATTTATCTGCACCACCTGTCACAAAGCCACGCTGAAAATCAAATGATATTTCAATTAACAAATACTTTAGTATAAAAATTTTGATAAGAAGATACATCAAAATAGTATTAAAGACCATTTTTATTTAATGGCATTGGGAAGAATTTTAAAATGTGGTTCCTCCCTGGCCCTCTCATTGCTCTCTTGGGGCTACTGCCACAGACCTTATTTGAAAATTCCTGGCAGAGACTAATGTAGACAATGATAACTAGTGTAAAGTTCTAGTTTACTTTCGCTGAGGAAAAATGACTCAATGAACACTGTGGGGATTTTTGCTTAACCTAAGAAAGTAACAGTCAAAAGAGCTTGCTATTAAGTAGTAAAGCAGTTTGACATAGACTGGATAATCTAAGTAAGTTTGAACTGACCTCAGAAAGGTATAAATTTATTCCTACAATGTCCCTGATTAAAATATGTTCAAAATTATTTTCCAATATCAAGAAAATTAAGTCTCACCAGACTGTAGTGTTAGTGTAAAGCATATAGAACCTGGAGTAAAAAACTAGTTCTGAAGTGTCTATTCAGCCACTTCTGAGATTTGTAACATAAAAAAAAAACTTATAAGGATCCTTAGTGGTGCTGTAGTGATGAAGACTAAGTAGTTTGTAAGGCCATTGTAAACACAGCAAAAAATGACATAATGAATGTGAACATACTTAGAAAAGACAGAGCATTCTACAAACACAAGATGTTATTACTACTTAATTTTAAATGGTGTTTGGTTTGACCCCAAATGACATTACCCACTCTAAATTCCGGATTCCCTTTTTTCCCAAAAACATCTATCTACTTTCAATGGAAGGTTTGCTGCCACTGAGAATGCTCAAATAAACAGGCCACAATCTCTTCAGGTATTGTCAACAAAAATCTCAAAATATTCTGAGCACAGCTCCAATATCAGAGTAAATATACAGTTCTACAGAGTGACTCCTTTGAATACAAGGAATGACTTGAAAGGGCTGACATATTTGCTAAAAAACACTAGACTTATATAGTCACAGGAGTATATTTTAAAAGCAGAGCAGAAAAGTCTACTCTATCATCTGCATTATGTTGCCCAAGGAAGTATTTCCTCTTAAGAAGTATCACTAACCATCGGTAAAAATCAGGAGGGTAAACAATTTGATGTCATGGAGATGACAATCAAGAGCAGCTGAACAAGAATTCATTTCACAATGACAGCTATTCATATTATCAGGCATATGATATAGCATCATATATAAAATCTCAAAGATTAGACAAAAAGTGGTCTTTCTTTAAAGAAACCCTGAGAAAAATCTGCTAGGCAGCAGTAAAACTTGATACAGGAAATGAGAAAGGCAGCCAGAGTACCAAAGTCCAGATCTTAACATCTGGGTTAGTCACCTGATCTGGAGAGAGGGACATGGACCATAATGCTCCATCATGTGCATCTATTGTCTCCAGCAGATTTCCAGAGGCCAGATCACAAAGCTGCAGCTTTCCTGTCTGAGAGACACAAAATGAGCACAGCTAAATGGACACACCTACAACCTCCAAGATTCATGCCTACACAACACAGCAAAGATTTCATAATCTTTCAAAGCAGCAACTATGTGGCCAACTGCTTAGGAAACAGATTCTATATTCCATGGCCTGGACTTCCTACCTGAATAAATGCTGTTAAATCCCCCACTGATGTGCTGAGTTAAGCAGGGCTGCTATGCTGTACTACTACGGAACAGTACAACCTGGTAGTACTAGACTCTTGTCACTTTCCTTGGTTCCCCAGCTTCAAATGGGAAACAAAATAAACGTAATAGCAAATGGCAAACCTAAAAACCTTTAAAGTTTAATCAATCCTTCAAATGTAATTGGCTTACCCAACTCTTCTTCTCCATCTGTTTTTGGGTTCGTCTTCTACAATACACTGGCAATGAGAACTAGAAATCTACCTATAATGCTAGAGAGGGCAATGAACTTAAAAAAAAATCACAGTTGCTTAGGAAACAACCAGCCATGCTTCCCGTTAGGAACTCTATATGTACCATGGCCACAGTGCCAGGCGTGGAAGTCACCCAGCAGCAAAGCCTGCTGCACAGTGAGCTTCTGCAGAAGTGGTGGAAAGAGTGTAAGAAGGTGAAAGACTTTGAGTCCCAGGGCTGCCTCCTTCCAGTCCTGTCACTGTTGGAGAATTCATCTCCATAAGCCTGTCTCATCTGTAAAATGGAATTTGTATCATTAACCTCACTAAATGTTGCAGGGATTAAATGAGGTCATGAACATTAACTGCCTAGCACAGAGACTAGGTTAGGGGTTGTATTTTAGTCACACAGGTTGTTTTTGAAGCAATTCACAAAATGCTTTTCCAATTGCAAGTAGTAGGTGCACATTTGTTGAAAGAATGAGTAAAAATGAGGTAAAATTTTAATTGAAAGTTAATGTTTTTTCCCTGACACTGACCCTAAAATCTTTCCAGCTTGTTTTACACGTTTTGCTGGACAAAAAAATATCCATTGTGATAAATAGGTTTTCTAATAAAATAATCATGTATATATGGCATTGGTTTAAGGGCAAAACAATGACAAATAATTGCAAATCATTTTTCCAAAACATTCCACAGGCCTTATTCTATTTTATTCTCACTACTACTCCAATTACTACCATTACTGCTACCAGCTCTTATTAGTTATTTGCTGTGAGACAGTCTCTGTGCTGAGTGCTTTGCACACTATGAGGGAGGTTATTTACATCATTTTACATGAGAAACCAAGGCTTCACAGTTAAATAACCTTCCCAGAGGTTTCACAGCTAATGAGTGGAAGAGCTGGGAACTAAACATAGGCCCATCAGTGCAAAAGCTACTGTCAAAAAGCAAGTGTATACTGTGGTGAGCATTTAGTAATGTATACAAATTATGGACTATGCTGTACATCTGAAACCAATGCACTATTGTATACCAACTACATTCCAATTTTTAAAAAAGTGCCATCATCTTATTATATAGATAAAGAAACATTCTAATACAAGTTATGTGACTTGCTTCAAATTACCCACTTTGTAAGGGGGAGAATCTGAACCCAAATCCATGTCTGCTTATTCCCACATGATCACCTCTCACCTTAATTAGCAGCTGAGAATGAGGATTTGATCAGTCTGTCTACTGAATGCTTCTATCTGCCAAGAATGATGCTAAGTACTTAATGTCTCTTATAATTAGTCTTTTTCAAAACACAATTACTTATGTGCTCAAAAAAGATGCACTTAAGACTAGTCACCCAAATAATGACAGTTATCTCAGTGTCATGATTTTAATTTTCTTCCTCATAAGTTGATATAAAGTTTGATTTAAAAAAAATTCAAAAGGAGTCTTGGCTTACCTTTGTTCCTATGGCCACCTGCCTATCACCAGGAACAAAGAAGGAGCAAAGCGCATATTCACAGGTCATCGTGCGAATACACTGCAGTGTAGACCTATGAGAAAGAAGGAACAGAGAACTCATGTTGAGAGAGCCTGCTTCCCCACTTTAGAGGCTGGTGTACATTCCATACCCGCTAGCCAGTGAGCAACATGAGAGGACAATGCCTGAGTAACCCTTGCCTCAGACCCAACTGTAGTCACAGGAAAAATATTAAATGGTATCTAGCTTTTCTTTGAAGGCACCTCCTTATCCTAAGGCACAGAGATAATACAAACGCAGGGCAGAGAAAAGCATCTGCTGGGCTCAACAGAGTCTGATATGCCATTACAAAGAAGTGAGCCCATATGACTGCAAGTCAAATTAGAATATTACATATCCCTACAAATAAAGTTAATTTAATTGGACTACAAACATTCATCCACCCAAATATATACCCAATGCCCACTTCCTTCAACAAACATTTACTGAATGCCAGGTACTGTTCTAGGTGCTGGAGATATTCACAGTGAATTAAACAAAAGAGATCCAGAATCTCACAGACCTTAACATTCTTTAGGAATGACACACATACATGGTACATCAGGTGGTGGCAGGCGCTATAGTGAAACAGCTGGAGAAGGGGATGAGTTATGGGCTGGGGAGAGGATGGCGGGCCTGCTGTCTGATGAGAAGACAGGGAGAAAGCCTGCACATTAATGGGGGAAAATGGTTTCAGGCACTAAAAACTGGAGCACAATAGCCAAGACAAAGACGTGTTCTTGTGTTTAAGGGACAACAAAAAGGCCAGTGTGGCTCCAGTGTGGCAGAAGGGGTGAGCAGTAAGAGACGAGGTCTTAAGGACTTTTGCCGTTTAGTTAAAAGTGAGATGGAGTTATTGGAAGTGATACAGCTTCCATTACAAAAAGATTACACTGGCTGTTGTATGGAGGACAGACTACGAACGGGCGAGAAAGGAAGCAGGGAGACCAGTGAGGAAGCTATCAGCAGTCCAGATGGGGTGATGGTGTTTGAACTGGGTGGTGGCAGTGCAATGATGAGATGTGGTTGGATTTTGGGTAACTTTTGAAGGTAGAGCCGATGGAATTTGCTAATGAATTGGACATGAGATATGGAATCAAGAATGACTACAAGGGTTTGGGCTACAACTGGAAAGAAGTAATTATTTACTAGTCTGTAGGAACAACAGGTGGGGACACTTGGAGAAATGAAGATCACAAGTATGATGTGGGAACAAAAATTTGAGATGGCTAATGAGACATACAAGTGGAGATACGAACAAAAAAGAATTTGAATAAATGAGTCTCATGTTCAGAGAGAAGCTAAGGCTAGAGATAAAAATGTATGCATGACTAGCATTGAGAAAGCCACATGACTATAAGTTACATAAAGTGAGTGCAGACAAAGAAAAGGTCCAAAGACTGCCCTGAAGTATCCTAACACTTAGAGATGGAAAAGTAGGAAGGTAAGAAGGGTCCAACAAAGACTGAGAGAAACCAGCCAGCAGAGAAAACGAAAATAATGAAGTCAAAGTGTTTCAAAGAGGAGAATGTTATCAATTCAAGGAGTGTCAAATGAAGCTTATAGGTCACTGGATTTAGAAATATCACTGATGAAATGACAAGAGCTATTTTGGTGAAATGCTAGGGATAAAAATGTGATAGGAGACAGAGACAGAATGGAGAAAAGAAATAAGATCATGAGGAGATAACTGGAGAGAGACAGGAGGATGAGACAGGGTTATTATTTCTCTTAAGATAGGGGAATTACAGCATCTGTTTGCTGATAGGAATGATCCAATAAAGAAAGAAAAATCATGATGCAAGAAGAGGAAAATTGCTAGAAGGGGAGTGGAGGAAAAACCTCAAATCAAGTTGTGATTAACTTAGGTTAGGAGCACCAACATAGAAATAGGAGGAAAGATAGATTATGTGGATATAGAAGCAGCTAAGGTGGCAGATGTTATGCACATTTCTAGATGATTCCATGTTTTTCAGTGGACTAGGAAGTAAGGTCATCAGCTTAAAGGTGTTAGAGGTGTTTGAGGTGAAACAGTCATCTAGGAAATAAGACTTGAGAAATATGATAAAGTTAAGGAATAGCACTAAGAGCCTATTACTATTTAAAGAATAGGCAGTATGTCTGTGTGTTTTTCTGTAGCCAAATACAGCTATACATTTTAGACAAGGAATAAACTTGCTTTTTTTTTTTGTACCAAATTTAAAAAGGCAACTTTCCCTATTCTAAACTCCACAGGCCTATGATCAAAATGCACTGAAGATACATTTTGACAGAATTATAAAAATGAATTCAAATGGAAGAAAATACTATTAAGATAAAGCAACAGAAAGCATCATTTTACAAACCTGTTCCATATCTTAATGGAATCAGCTGCTGCTGAAAGGACAGCAATATTGTCTGAGCTGAATGACAAAGTCCGCACATCACTGCGATGAGCCCCGATGGTAATTCTGCTTGTCCTCATGGGCTGAGGAGCAGGTGTAGATGGACTTAGTGAATATAATTCCACCAAATTGTTTTGTAGCAGAAAGACAGCCTTTAACTCTCCTTGAGGTGCATGAATCAAGTCAAAGGATCTGCATGAGAAAAAAATCATTAAGTGTTCTAGCTACCATGTCAGCTCAAACGTTAACATTCTCTAAGAGAATTTTACAAAGAAGAGTGCTCTGAGTATTTGACAGTAGTCAAGTAAAGACTTTTAAGTCAAAGAAACCAAGGCTCTGAGACTGGGTCTGGCATATACCTTGTTTTTATGTACAGATTTTTTCTAAGCAGCCTTAATCCTTCCTAAACATGAGGCATACACATTCTTCCTTTTAACTGGGGGCAGGAAAGAATAGTAATGAATAGATACCAGGTCATTACAATAAAACAAACATGAAATGATGAGTAAGTGGACACATGAAATGATGAGTAAGTGGGTGAGAGCAGTAGGAGCCGAGGGTGACACAGGTTTCCCACAACCACTGTCCCCAAATACATGACTCCTACAGACCGCTTACAAATAGCATGGAAAAGCCAAAACAACTTTGTAGCTTATTATTTCTCTAAAACTTCAGATACTACATTTTTACTCACTTGATTTTAGCAGAAGTTTTGATATTAATCACCCGTTGGATTTCATCTTGCAGAGTCAATTCAACATTGACTTCAAGGTCTCCCTCTTCCCCTTTGCAAGAATTTAATCTAGAGGGGGGTAAAAATACAACTATGCTATCACTTTTTTAGAATAAGCTTTGCTATTACTTGAATCAAGTTCTAGCTCTGAGATCAAACAACCTGCATGATCCTGGGAGTCACTGAACCACACAGGAGTACCATGAGAATTAAACAATGTAGTGTATGCAGAAATGGTTTGTGACCTTCAGTGTCAAACATAAAGTACTGTTTCACTTAATGTGTATCCTAAATAAATGGATTCTGAATGCAACAGCCCATAAAATTTCCTAAGACAAATCTTTGTAACACAAACTACTCCACTGAAATGTTCCTGGCAGACTTTTCAAACTTCAGGACCTTTCAGAAAATCCATTAACCTGCATCTATCCATTCATCCATGTCTAATAAACTAGAGGTCTCAAAAGATTTGCCAAGCCCTATGATTTTTTATTTCTTTGAGACTTGGTAAATTTCAGTCATAGAGGAACTGATTTCTATGCTTATATTTCTCCCAAACTTCAATTATATAACTGTTCAACCATTCTTTCTTCTTACAGTCCCAAAAGTTAGCATTATACAGACCAGCTTCCTTCGATATAGGCTACTGTCATTCAAGAAACACTGCTAGCCTCAGAGAATTAAATCATTTGGAAGCTATTTTTAAAAGCTGGTATAGTAGTTCTGAGTTCAAGATTCAGAAACATGCTAGTTATGAAGCTATACAAGAGTAGAAATCTAAAACTTAGACTACTGGTACTCCGAAAAACCTTGTATAGCTTTTAACAATAAGTGGTTGCAGAATAAATATTTCCTTAAAGAAGCTGTAGTTTTTTGGTCAGTACTTTGTGGCCCACCCAGGATACTTTATTATTAGTAAATATTAAGAAAACACACTTTGCTTTCTTTCTAGCCTTCTTCATCTTCTTATCCATTTTCTTCTGAATTTCCTCTTTGGAAAGGATACAAAAAACTTCTAGCACAGAATCAGCTCCCTAAAAAAGCAAAAGGTTCATTAGAGTCCAGGATAGGAAATTTGTAATTTAGTTTTTTTTCAGTAAAAACTAAGCAGTGACATTTCTTTTTCTTCCCTTACAGGTTGTATTGGCTTAGACAACTTAATCTCTTGGGATTGTTGTTTCACCTGTAAAGTGGGGACTCCACTTCTTATTCAAGAATATTGCTCTGAAGACTAAGAAGTTAATGCTTTAAATGCTTAGAAAACCAAGCATTTAATAAATAATAAGAACAATAATAGTGATTATTGTTGTTATGCTAGTAACAGCTAGGGATTATAGGTTCCACACAGTACCATATAATGAATTCTTAACATGACCAAAGAAATAATTATTTCTACACCAAACATGAAAGAAGAATGAGCCTGTGAAAGGAACAACCTAGTTGTTGCTATTTTCTCCTAAGACCGGTACTTACATGGCAAGCAAGAATCCTGCCTGTCTTGTCAACTGCAAGGTTCACAACTCTGTCTCTTCCTTCTCTCATCAGGGAACCAGCTTTTTTGCATGTTAGGATGCGCTACAGAAGACACAACAAAGATGATGAAGGTTAAATGTAAGTTCTGCTGAACTTCTGAAAAGACATGGTCTCAAAAATGCAGGTGACAAAGATATTCCCTAAAATGATAAGAATTGCAAATACATAACTTCACAATTCTCACTTTTACCACCACTCAACTCTGCTGAAGGTAAGAAACAAAAATGTATTACATCCTCAGGAGCTTCATCCACCTCAAGGGAACCATCCTCTACTTCATCTGTGTCCTGTATTCCAGAGGAAGACTCCTTGATTTTCTTGGGCTCTGGTTCTTCTAGGTCTTCAATCTGTTTTATAAAAATGGGAAAATCAAAGCTGAAATAATGTGTCCCAGAAGGTAACCCTTAATCCTAATGACTCAGAAACCTGTCCTTAGGGCCATTAATAACTTTCACTTAGTGATCTCTCTGATCAAACCTCTTCAATGGTAGGACATTTATCAGAATATATTAAAAGCTGACTACATCAAATGCAAACAAAACATATTAACTATGCCATCTCCAATAACTTTCCATAGTATAAAGACTATTGTTTGACAAGATGAAAAAATGGCAACCGACTCTTCATTAACTTTAAAACCTTCTTAAGTGAAAGATCTACCATATTCTAGAGGGAAAGATTCAAACTGGCATTAAGAATTGTAAAGGCACTGCAAGAGAAGTTAAAGTTTCTCCTTAAATAAAGAAAAGATAAATACTAGCATACTAATGCAGAACCCACTAAAATGGCTACTGGACACAACACTACACAACTAACTCCAGCTAAACCTAAGGTCCATAACCTTTTTTTCTGCACAAAATCTTCAAGGATCTGAATACACTGTAGATATTCCCAGAGTATTCATATTTATAAACACACACAAAGTTTACATAGACTTTTGTTTGGAGGAAAAGGATTGCAGATATTCTGAAACCCATCCATGGACACCCAAAGGCCCAGGAATATCAGGCTAAGAAGCCCCAAACTAAAACATTAGCATTAACCAAAAGCTACAAGCCTAAAGCTATCCTTGGTCCAAGCTCAAACAAATAATGAAGAAAAAAATTTGTTTAGAAGTTGCAAGTTATCAATTTGACAGAATCCTTCTAGTACTATGTGAAGTACTGAGTGTTCATATTTGAATCTAAATCCAATGAGCCAATGAAACTGCTAAAAATGACATCACCCATGATCAGAGAAAATAAATTACCTCTTGGAGATAGGCTATGTCCCAAGCCCTCAGTTCACTGTCCGAAGCCCCAGTGATGAGTCGCTTTCCTTCTGACACAAGAACCAACCCCCAGACCTACAAAGTAAAAAAAGATTTAAATAATGTGATTTTTAAGAGACTCCAGGGTACATGATATAACATTTAAGAAGTCTAAGTATACTGTAATGAAATCTCGTTGGCTTGCAAAGTCTACTATTAAGGCAACCCTTTCAAAATATGCTCAGAGAAATCTCATTTTTAGAAAGAAAAAAATGGCATGTGGCGGCACTGTTGTTTATGTGGTAACTAAAAGTTTCTCTGTAATTTCCTATCCATAAACTTAAACAATGGCTGTTCAGCATAAATCCTATCTAGAAACCACTCAGATGATGATTTTAAGTCTGATACTTCTTTGCTTTCAGTAGTGCCTGACACATTAAAGGTATCCCACTATCTATTGCATAATTTTCAGCCACATTAAAGGTATCCCAGTATCTATTGCATAATTTTCAGCATTAAATGTCCAAAGCAATGAAAGAAGTAGTATTGTTGCAAATCAATTTAGAATCTAGTTTGCCTTTCCCCCTCATTACTTGTAGGTGTTCATGAAAGCCTGGTATAAATAAAGCATTGAGGAACATGCAAAGGCATAAAATATTTCCTGAACCTTCCTGAATAGATCTATGTTCAGGCACTCTTATAATAGCTACGATTTGCTGTTTACATGTCACTGAGCCAAGCACTGTACACACAGTATCAATAAACCTCTCTACAATCATAAAGGTGGATACTTATTATTTAAAAATGATAAAACTCATATTCATGGATGAAAGACTCAAGGCCAATCTTTACCAGATGCCAGAGTAACTGTATCTGCTCTGATGGCTCATCCTTCTACCACACCAACCTCTGTCCCTCAAGATGCACACGATTTGATTTTAGCAATCAGCAGAAATGGAGCCATGAATGGCCCAGAGAAGAAAAACAGCTTTTCCTTTTTGCCTTGAGTCAGTCTTTCCCTGGGCCCATGACCCTCCACGTACCTCAGTTCGGTGGCCAACGATTGTTTTGAAGCAGTGCTGGGTATCAAGGTCCCACCATTTCACCATGGTATCCTTCCCACTGAGAGAAGAAACAGGAAAAAAATCATATTAGGAAGAATCACCAAACTATCAGGGAGAAAAAGAACTCATTTGTTGCCTTAAAAAGACAATCTATACCAAAAATGTCTAACGCTACTATTTTACCTGACTTTTCTTTTAAGAATAATCCTAACTCTCCATGTGGATATTCTCAGGTAGAAAATGTTTTCACCATTAAGCACAAAAATAACTTTGAATTCCAAGTGCTAAAGAACCTAGCATGTGAACACTGACCATCATTTTCATCATGACAGTGCTAGATTTCCTTCATCCTGTCTAACAAAAAATGTCTTAGGTCTCTCCTACCCTCTGTCTCCCATGTCCACTTAGTCTCTGTCCTGAAAATGCCTCCTCTGTAAAGTCTCTAAGCCTTGATTCCTTCCAATCCATTTCTGTATACAAATCTGAATTTAAGTCCTACTGCCTGAATTCTTTTAGGAGCTTCTCATCTGGTCTCGTCCATTCCTGTTCACGCAACACATCCCATATACTACTGTCAGACAATCTCAATTTTTAAATTTACACTAGCTCAAGGTTCTCTTAAGAACCAAATCAGGCTCGTCAGTACCACTGTCAAACCTCCCATTAACTGGCTCTTAATCTCTCTGCCAATGGGCTGTACTCTTCTGGACTCAAATGCCTGTTCCCTGCTTATTCACTAATATAAATCTAATACAATCTTCCTTCATGACCAAATGGGAAAAAAACAAGAGACCCGATTTACATAATCTTTATTCCATAATTGCATCTCATGGTCTTATTCCCTTTCCTTTATATTCCCTAAGCTATAATGTGTATATTCTTGTAGAGCTGTAGTCATTTTCTCACAGAACCTATGACTGAAGAAGCCACATTAACGTCCCTGGAGCCTATCCCATAATAACAAACCCACTGCTGGTACAGTATTTGGTGCTCTTTCAAACTTCCTGAGTCACTACTATGGTTCTCCTAAGTACTGTGTGGGAAACTGCAGGCCCCAAACTTTCCTGGGTGGTCATTCCTTGGGAATGATGATTATTATATTAGGCTGAACTATATGAAATTGCTGATGTTTGACCTATCATTTTTAACCTAGACAAATGAAAATTTCAAATGGTTTTAACCTAATACATGTTCAGAAGGCCTAAATCTAGACTAGGTCTCAAGTAACAGGCTAAACCAAACACTTGGCATTCACATCTGCTCACTGCTCCATATTCTAGGGGTCTGGAAAATAACTCATTCTATAAAAGGATTGTCGAAAGGTTAAGGAACATGGAAAAGCTGTAACCAGGGGAAAATGACAAATCGGAAAAGGGAATTTAAAAACTCTGGAAAGTTTCTATGACACTATTTGGGAGGGGAGGAAAGGAAAGGAAAGCAGAGTAGAAGAGGAAACTAGCACAGGAGCTTGAGTAGTGTGGACAAATGGCTAAGGAATGAAGCAAATTCCCTCTATGAAACCACCCCCCAGTGAATTTACCTAGAAAAGAACTGGAAGCAAAATTTTTTTCTTTACCTAGAAACGAGCAGATTCTTTTCCCGTAGAAACAATGCTTGTGTGACAGCGTCCTTGTGCCCCTTTAGACGGTAGAGGCCACTTTCATTGATCACATCCCATACAATAATATCTGTGTCCTAAAGGGATCAAATCATACAGAATAATTTTCTTTACCACATAATGCCTAACTCTACAAACAATGGGATATAAACTATTACAAAGGTGATAGTTAGTTCCTTGTAGAAAAATTGGAAGTTACACAGAAAAGCATGGAGAAAATAAATACCAGTTAGGTCTGCCACCTAAACATCATAATTTGTTTTACATTGTTCTTGTCTTTATCTATCTATCCAGGTAGTTCTTTTTCTATTAGAAAACTGAGATCATGCCTCTCATATCATTTTGTAACCTCTCCCTTTTTTCATTTAACATATTTCCATTTTTACATGTCCTTCTAGACCGTTCGGTCATATAATTAACCTTAAGAATCTATCATAACTTGAAGTTTTTTCTATTTTAGCCATTTAGGTAGTTTCCAATTTTCTGCTATTACAGATACATGAACATAAATCTGTCTATAGCTCTGATCAGAATAAATACTAAAAAGGAAAATTATTGGGGTAAAGTTATTTCTATTTTTGAAGTTTGCAATTCACACCATCAAAGTGATTTCCAGAAGGCTGAACCAATGACAGGTCAGTTTCCCAACTCCTTGGCTCTGGATATTCTCAAAAAACACTGCCAATTTCACAAGTTAAAAACACTGCCTCAATATTTATCTGATTTGCATTTCTCAATACCAATGAGAAATTCCATACATTTTTATTTACTGGCCATTTGTACCTCTTTTGAACTGCAGAATCATGCTTTTTTGCCTTCCTATGGATCTTGTTTTTTTACCTAATTGTTTAAGTTATTAAAAGAAGAATGCCATTAATCCATCCTTTTTATATTGAAAGTATTAAATACCTTCCCTTTTTTCAGTCCATTGTTTTTTTCTAGCTTTGAGAAATAATTGATATGTATCACTGTATAAGTTGCATAAGACATACAGCATAGTTGATTTACATATATTGTGAAATGATTGCCATGATAGGTTCAGCTACCATCTACCTTCTCATTCAGATAAAAGAAAAAAAGGAAAAAAATTTTCTCCTTGTAATGAAAACTTTTAAGAATTTACTCTAACAACTTCTCCTATATTGTTTTTTAAAAGTGCAAATGTTTTAAATTTCAGTATTAAAATCTATTGATCTTTTGTATTTTGTTTGATAGGCTTGAAGTGTTTTCCCACTTAATAACAGATAAATATTTACTTACATAGCTTCTAGTTTTCTTAAAATAGTACACTTAGCCAATTGTCTAAGCACCAGTTTATAACCTACTGTTTTTCTATTCCTCGGAAATGTCATCTTTAAAAAAATACCATTCAGGAATATGAAAGTGAATTTGTTTCTGTAATTCCCATTTGGTTGCAATAATCTATTTTGTATTGGTATCAGATTAATATAACACATTTAAATTATGATTTCATAATGCATTTTAATATCTGAAACCTCCTAAAAAAATCTAATCCTGAAAAAAAAATCTGAAGCCCTCTTTCATTATTCTTTCCCAAAATTCTGGTGTTTTTGAGTCACCTGTTTTTCCATACATGCTTTTAAATCATTTGGTCACATTTGGAAAACAGAGCAAAACTTTTGAGATATTTACTTAAATTGCTTTAACAATATTAATTAGAAAACATTAACATCTTCGTCTTTCCATTTACGAACATGGTCTCTGTCTGGATATTCAAGTCTTCTGTTACAGTCTTTAGTTTCATAGTATTTTTCTGTTACTTAAAATACTATTATAAATGGAATCTTTTACATTATATTTTCTAACTGATGACTGTAAGATATAGGAAAACTACTGATTTTACTGAACTTAATGGCAAAGAATTATTATTTTGTATCTCCTTTTCCAATCTGTTTTCTTTTCCCCTTGTGAACTGCTTAGGTAGCACTTCCATAATGATGATAGGTAATAGTTTCTAAGAGTATCCTCATATTGTTCCTGTATTTAATAGGCTTTTATCAGAGAATATGATAGTAAACAAAATGATCTTCCCAATTCTTGTCCATCCTCACTCTGTTTCCACCATCTATAGGCATACCTTGTTTTTATTGCACTTTGCTTTATTGTGTTTCAGAGACACAGGATTTATTTACAAATTGAAGATCTGTGGCAACCCTGCATCATGCAAGTCTATTGGTGCCATTTTCCCAATAGCATTTGCTCAATGCATGTCTCTGTGTCACATTTTTATAATTCTCACAATATTTCAAACTTTTTCATTATTATTTTCTTTGTTATTGCCTGTGATCGATGATTATAACTCACTTAAAGCTCAGATAATGGCTAGCATTTTTTAGCAGTTAAATGTTTTTTGATTAAGGTTTTTTATTTTTTAGACATAATGTCATTGCATACTTAATGACTAACTACAGTATAGTGTAGAACATAACTTTCATATGCACTCTGAAACCAAAATATTCATTTGACTTGCTTTACAGCAATAATATTGAGGTGCTCTGGAGAACCCACAATCTCTCTTAAGTATGTCTGCATTCTATTTACTACATATATATTATATACACCAAGTGCCCTCGTTTTGTCCAAAAATTTTTATGAACAACATAATTTAGCAAAGCCTTACAATCCTTCACTAGATCAAAGTCTGGGCACCTAATTCAAGATCTCACCTTGGACCCAGATGCCAACCTGCCTCCTAGCTGATCATACTTCAAGGATGTGATGGCTGCTTTGTGTCCATTGAAGGTCACATTTCCTTCTCCACTCAGGAGACTGAAGATTCGGACTGACCCATCCTCATAACCAACAGCTAAGTGCAACCCATCTGGGGAGGGGCACAAGCAAGTGACCTCTTGTTTAAGCCCCTTAAGGATGAGGATCTGAAATCAAGAATCATAAACAATATAGAGGTGTTAAGCATATCATAAAGAGAAAAGTGTAAGAACAATTAGGCACAGTAAAAATAAGAGCATCAATAATTCCAAATCACTCTTAGAATAACACCAGAACTCTGCAATCCATCTCGAGTTCTTTAATATAGGAACTATTATCTGTACTGGGCAATGAAACAGTCAAGAAAAGTTAAAATTATTTTCTTCAAAGCTCTACATTAGCTTAACACATACAAAAATTTCCCAGGCAATGGAATAAATTACTAAGTCCTTATCTTATGTCAACACCAAATAATTTTCTACATAGGATTATAAACACATTCTTGCTTTAATAACCTCATCTTATAAGAAACAAACCTGCATGGCAACAGAGTGCTATCATAGTTTATACCCAAGGGCCTGTGGGTGGCAACAGGTATCAAAGTAGTAACCTCTTGGGGATCACAGTAAGTGGACAAGTTCAAAATGTCCGTATTTGGTTTGGCAGAAGTGGTAGGCTTAGGGAATTAAGAGTCACACAAGCATCAAATCCTAGTTTAATAACTCCTGGGTCTCAGCTCTGTAAGTAAGAAAAGATCCAATCAACAAAGCAGAGTAATATTCCTTTGAGATATCTAATATTTTGTAACTGTGGGGGCAAGAAGAAGAACTTGACAAACAGAAAATTGGCAAAGTAGAGAAAAACAAACATATTGGGAATTATGAGTACAAATAATTACCTGTAAATATCACTACAAGTAGAAAACCAAGAGGTAAGCTCCTATTTGGTTATAGCTTTAAAGAATTTAGTGTAGAACAGAGGAACCTGATATGTGGCTACCGAGCCCCAAAGAAAAAAGACTTCTCTCCTGGGGGCACACACATAGGGGGTAAAAAAAAGTCTGTGTGTGATAAATCAGAGCTCTCCCACTTCTGCCTCTCCATCTTCAAATATCATAAATCAGTATCAACCTAGTTGTTCTTACCTTCTCTCCTTTCCTTAAATCCCAGATGAAAACATGTTCACAGGCTGGTACTGCTACATAGCGTCCTTTTTCACCACGGAGTGTCACAAACACAATATTACCTTTCTGGCTGCCAATCAGGCCAAAGACTGCGCTGGCAACATAGCGCAGGTACTGCTTGGTGAGCCCCATGTTAAAAGTGGCCGATACCACAAGTGAGGCAGCTGGAAACAAAGAAAATGCAAACAAGGAAAACTCAGGGCTTCGGGGATCTTGATTCTGCTAGCAGGCAAACACCAACTGTTTATCATGTGGTTAAAAGCATGTAGCTGTGGCTTCTTAACTTCCACTTACTCTAAATAAACCACTGACATAAAATACATAGACACCTTCATTTCTTATTTGCTGTTGACTTAATAAGTAACCCCCACTTGTCAAGTTTCAAATTGGTCACACTGTCATGCCCACCTCAGAAATAACTGACATAGGGTCTCAAGGTAGCCAAACAATTCGCTCTGCCCATTCATCCACCATCAAAGTTTTGACACTGAGATGGACAGCCTGAGACTGAAACTATTTATCAATGAATGTTTATTGTAAACCTACTAATTAGACAAGCCCTGTTCTAGATGCTAGAGATGCAGTGTTGAGTAAAATAGAATCCCTGACCTCATGGCACTGGCATTTACTTCTAGCACAGTGGTTCTCCAGCTGTAGTGTGTATCCAAATCCCCAAGGGCTTATGAAAATGACTGCTGGGAAGCACCTCCACCTCCCCTCCAGTGCCCCCCTCCAACTCAGCAGGCCTGGGGCAGGGGCTAAGACCCTTCACTTCTAACAGCATCCCCAGGGATTTTGCTGCCACTCTGGTTCCTCACTGTGAAAACCACTGTCCCAGAGGATCTGCTACCCAGGGCAGCTACCCATCCCTAGCACAGGGAAATGGTACAGCAACTAGGCACACTATTTTTGAAAGATGCTGTAGTTCTTGCACTAAATCAGATTCACTGAAAACTCTGGCTATGGATAAAAGAGACAATAGGTAAAAAAGACAAGTCAGGCCTGTCTGCTCTTAACTGGAAGAATGCACAGTATGCCCCAAAACAAGCATGCAATTTAAAAAACACAAGACTACTGAACAGCAGTTACAGTGCTTTTTGGAGTTGGTTTTTGTTGCTGGTTCATTTGTTTGGTTTAACTCTACGGGGTCTCTTTCTGATTACATACAGTCTACTCTTTTAGTCTAACAAAATATTCAGTGTTAACTCTCTGCTTGTGTTTTCTTTTAATAATCACGGTCTCCTTATTTTCATAAGAACCAACATAAAGGCAGTTACAACTCAAGCAAAGGTAATATTAACACAATGCTCTTATTAGCCTGGGCATTTGATCAGTTCTTCTCCAATTCATCTTAGTCCTCTAGCCCCTTCACTGTACTTGTTCCTCTTGGTAGTCTTTGACCACCTACCAACTCTTTCCACAGTATTTTCCTTGGAGACTTCATATAGCATGCCTAGGCCCAGGGACTCCCACATCTCTATTTCCAGTCCTGTCCACATACATGAATACTAACTATAGAGTTCTAAAAACTTATGAGACATCCTCACTCAAATACCTTGAAGCATCACACTTAACATGTCTAAAACCCCTTGCATTTTTTTCTGACTCTAAGACACACAATCCTTCTAGCTGTTCAGGCTCAAAACCTTGTAGTAACATTTAGCAATACTATAGCAATACATTTAGTAATATTTTTAAATATTACTATAGCAACCCAGGCTTAAAAGAGTACTTAGTGTATGGTAACTGGTATACTGAATGTATATTACTGAATAAACATGCAGTTGTTTAATCACATATAGCAATTGAGTTACTTAAATGGGTTAATATATGTAAAGCAGTTAGAAAATCATCTGGCATTTTGAAAATGTAAGTATATAAAATTCTTCACAATAACCTTGTAAGGTAGGTACTATTCTTATCCCCATTTTACAGACAAGGACACAAAGCAGAGATGTGAAATAGCTAGCCCAAAGTCATTTGCTACTTTTAAATGCTAAAACAGATTCCAATCTAACTTCAGAATTTCTTCTTTTAACCAGTAAGTTAAACTGCTTCTCTTTGTTTCTGTCCTCTCTTCTATCAGAAACTTTCATCTGATTAGGTTTCAGAAGTAGGGTCCTTTTCTCTCTTTGCACCACTTTCTGTTCCAGCTCATGATCACTGGGTTCCTGCACTAGTTTTCTATCTAGCACCTCCACCTCCATGTTTTCCATTCTTTTCAAAGTCATACTACTACCTGACTGACCCTTTCAAAGGCACTGTCCCTACCCCTGAAGCCCTAAGTAGAGCTAAACTGTTCGCAGTTTTCAAGAACTCATTCTATCTACCCCCTTTGTTTCTCGCATACCACTCTGTCTGGCGAGTTGGTTTCCTTCCTTGCCCTGAAATCTTGCCTTCTTTATACTGTTCCTCTCACCTAGAAAAACATACATTCTCCCTTCTGCCTATTTTAAACAACGTTACTCTCTGAGGCCCACTTCCTTCGGGCTAGTTCAATTCTTGCAGCCTTTTCCACTGCCTCAATATTTAAACTGTCTCCATACAACTTGGTACTGGTCACTTGTGCCTCTGCCGCACAGCTCTCGACTCCTTTGTACAGCGCCTAAAACCTAATCATCCTTCGTGCCCCTACCACCCCTGTTTCCTAAACACGCAGCAACACTCTCCGCAAACATGTTTCTATGATGCGCCGAAGGCTGGCGCGCGGTTAACAGATCTGTCAGACGTCCCTAAACCAAGTCTTCATTTAGGAGCGCGAAGTGGGTTCCGCACACAGACCACGCCACCGGCGCATCCTCAGGAGGGTCAAGCAGCTCTACACTGCACGAGCCAACCCGAGTGTAGGAAGGCGGCCTCCGGGTACGGGGGTGAGGAGCTCGTAGTTGCCCAGGTTCCGCTTCACCCTATCAACGTGCCCCAACCTTCCGTCGCCTCATCTGCTGCTGACACTACGAAGCCTCGGCCAGGACCACCGAAATCCAAAGAGCGGAGCAAAGATGTTCTGCCCCCTTGCAGACCCCGTACTCACCTTAGCCTCCACGAGGCTCGGGGCCGATTGGACACACCCACATGACCCACTTCTTCCGGCCCTCTCTCTAGGCTCTTCCGCCCGACGTTCCTTTGGCCTTCGAGGAGGAAATGACGTAAGCTGTGCTCTGATTGGCAAGGGCCGGCCGGGAGCGGAAGCTGGTGTTTCGCAGCCCGGAGCTGTAGCAGCTGTTCGCTCTAGCAGCTGGTTAGTCCAGCTTGCTGGGACTTTGACTTGCCGCTGAACTCCTGACAAGGGTAGCCCAGGGATGCCTCTCGGCTTCTTTCTACGAGGAGCTTAACGCGCCCCGCCTGCCGTCCGGATGGGACCGCCGGAGTGCTGTAAGAGGCGGGACGGAGGCTGCGGGCGAAGGTGGGGCGGAGCTGCCCGGGGGCGCGGCGGGAGGCTCTCTGGACTTGGCCCGGGCTGGTGCTGCGGGCAGGGAGTTCTGTCCGTTCTCTGAAGAATGAGCCTGCAATTTCTTACCCACCTTTTGGTTGCGTCCCTCTCGCCCAAGGAGCTGTTGGGTCTACTTACTGACGAGGAGATAGAGGGTAGGGCAGACCCAGGTACGAGGGACGGTGGTGCTGTAGCCACCGTGGAGGCGTCGCCCTGGATGTCGGTGAAATTGGACGACCTGCCGGTGGTAGCCCCAGCGTCGAATCTGTGTTGCCACCGGAGTGGACTGGGCGTTCTGCAAGCCGAGAGCAGTACGAGTCGGGACTGGGTAGACTCGGGGCTGAGTCCAGGATGCTGAGTAGCCTAGATCCCTGCCGTCCCTGGAATGACATTGGTCTGGCTTTGTGTTTCCGCTTTTTGGCCGCTTGAGGGGGAAGTGACCAGGGCCGACACCTCCTTGCTTAGCAGTCAGTTGAGGCTTAGGTGCTCTGTTACCAGGTAGGAATTAGTAAGTCTCTGTGTTGGCTTATTGAGCAAGGTATCTGCAGCCAGCCTAAAAAATAGACTTACCTACATTACTGATTTGTCTAAGGATGTTTCTTGAGTTTTTCAGACATGTTAGTCGTACATGTTCAAGAAAATTGCAATAGTGGAGAATGGATATGATAAGACTGTAGATAGATGTAGCAGTAGAGGTGTTTTGAAACAAGATTATTGTGGGCAGAATGAATGAAAAAGGAGACAATTGTGGCAACAGACTATTCAGTAAGTTTGATGGGGAAGGGAGTATTTATGGGATTGGGTATGGTTAACATCTCCCACAGGTGATGTGCATTATTATTATTATTATGGGGGAAAAACGGTGTGCTTCAGTAGACAACTGCATAGTCTGGATTCTATCTGGATGATGCCCTTTGGGTTCTCTTAAGAAAGCTAGGTTATTATGTAAACTGCGGATAACTAATGTCAATTACTAAGTACTTTTTGTTATAGGCATGCAAATTCTGTCCTCTTACAGGTTCATTGGAAATTTTTCCTCCTTGTACTTTCGTTTCAATATTCCCCTATTAATGTGTCCAATTGCGGGATTCCCTTTATCTATGGTCTGCCTGATTCTCTTGTGATTTAAATATTGGACACATGTTCATTTTTATATTTGAATGGATCATAATTTTACTTCTTTAAAAAATTCTCTTAGTATCATGAAATAATATGAGAAGGGACAACCACAAATGGAAAAAATATTTTGAACAATAGTTGGTTGTAAGAGCAACTGTGAGTGCTAAGATAATGTATCTTTAAAAATTCCTAATAAACTATTTCAAGAGTATAACCATAGTTTCTTATGTACATTTCAAGTTGCTTAATGTGCTAATATCTACAGTTGAAACATAGCAACTTCTTTTCATATGAAAATGGTGCTACTAACTCACCATTAGAGCATGTGCTTTGACATTTTTGAATGGCTGTGTTAAATTTGACCTGGGCAGCTGGACAAAACTTAGAAATATTTTTGTGATACTGTGTTTATTGTTGACATATTTGACTGCTTCAGGTTTTTTTTTTTTCATCTAAGTAACTTTTTAAAAAATGTCATTCTTTTGATTTGTGTAGAATGATTCTTAAGTATAATAGACTTGGTGTTGGTATGGGGGTATGTGCACCAATATCTAATGTACCCCGAAGTTTTAAATATTGAAATACAAAGACATAAAGAATGGTAAACCTGTAATTTATTCAAAAACAGTAAAATAGAGCTGGTATTAAGGAAAGTCAAAAGCATGGACCAGCTCTGTTGTAATTTTATCCAGACCTGGCTAATCAATGTAATCATTTTTAGGAACAAGTAAACAGATACAAAGTTCTTATTTTTCTCTTGTAAATGATAACATTTTCTTTTTATCCTCACAAAATTTTTTGAGACACAGTGATCCTTGGTGTTCTGCCTGATTCTGCGCAGTCATGAACAATAAAAATATAATCTCTCTAGCTAATCCAATTATTCATATAAAATTCTATTTAGAGGACTTCTTAAACTAAAAGATGACAAGATTTGTTTTTTAAAAAGTGAGGACTTAATAGAGAGGTATCTAGGATGGCAAAATGGGAAGATCCTGAGCTCACCTTCTCCCATGGGCACGCCAAAATTCTACAACTACGTATAGAACAACTGTCTCTAACATGATCTGAAGACTAACAGAACAGATCTTACAATGAAGGACATTAAAAAAAAGCCACAATGAGACAAGTAAAAGGGGCAGAGACCCAGTTTAGTCAGGATGCTCAGGATGCACACCTCTGGCAGGGCAACTCACAAATGGGAGGGATGTCACAGCTATAAAGGTTCTTCTGAGGAGCGAGGGGTATGAGCCTTATGTGGGACTTAGCAGCCTGGGTACCTGCATTGGGAAAATGAGCTCCTGTAACATCTGGCTTTAAAAACCAGTAGGGCTTCTGTCTGAGAAAGTTGGAGAGCAATAGGAAAGTGAGACTCCACTTTTTATTACAGAGCTTCCACACATTGCAGAGGCAGAGTTTGAAAATTGCGTGGCTTACATGTGAAGGAGATCAAATGACTAATTTTAGGGCATATGTGCTACAGAGGCAGGGATCTGCTGAAATATTCTCTGGGGATGGAAGAAAGAATGCTTCCAAACTTACTCAACAGGGCCAGCATTACCCTGATACCAAATCAGACAAAGACACCACAAAAAAAGAAAATTAGCCAATATCTCTGATAAAAATCAATGTAGAAATCCTCAACAAAATATTAGTAAACTGAATTCAACAATACACTAAAAGGATCATTTGCCATGATCAAGTGTGATTTATTCCAGGCACCCAAGGATGGTTCCGTATCCACAAATCAATCAATGTAGTATACCACATTAACAGAAAGAAGAATAAAAATAATAAGACCATCTCAATAGTTGCAGAAAAAACAATTTATAAAATTCAACATCCTTTTATGACAAAAACTCAACAAAGTGGGTATGGAGGGAATGTATTTCAATATAATAAAGGCCATATATGGCAAACCCACAGCTAACATCATACTCAGTAGTGAAAAACTCAAAGATCAGAAACAAGACAAGGATACCCATTCCCCCAACTTTTATTTAACATAGTATTGGAAGTCCTAGTCACAAGAGTCAGACAAGAAAAAGAAATAAAAGGCATCAAATTTAAAAAAGCAGAACTGTCCCTTTTGGCAGATGACATGATACTATAGAGAGAGAACCTGAAGATGTCAAAAACAAAAACTGTTAGAACTAATCAGTGAATTCTGTAAATTTTCAGAATACAAAATCAGTAGACAGAAATCTGTTGGATTTCTATACACCAATAATGAACCATCAGAAAGAGAAATCAAGAAAACAATTGCATGTACAAATGCATCATGAAGAATAAAATACCTAGGAATAAATTTAACCAAGAAGGTGAAAGACGTACTCTGAACACTATAGTACATTAATGAAAGGGATTGAAGACAACACAAATAAATGGAAAGATATACTATGCTCATGGATTGGAAGAATTAGTATTATTAAAATGTCCATACTACTCAAAGCAATCTACAGATCAATGCTATCCCTATCAAAATACCAATGGCAAATCCTAAAATTTGTATGGAACCACAAAAAGATCCTGAATAGCCAAAGCAATCTTGAGAAAGAAAAGCTGGAGGTATGTGCTCTCTGATTTCAAACTACTCTACAAAGCTATAGTCATCAAAAAAAATATGGTACAGGCACAAAAACAGACACATAGATCAATGAAACAGAGTAGAGTCCAGAAATAAACACTTATATAATCAATCTTTGACAAAGGAGGCAAGAATATACAATGGGAAAGACAGTCTTTTTAATAAATGGTGTTGGAAAAACTGGACAACTACATGTAAAAGAATGTAACTTTCTTATACCATATACAAAAATTAACTCATACCATTATGTTAAAGACTTAAATGTAAGACTGAAAACCATAAAGCCACTAGAAGAAAATGAGGCAGTAAGGTCTTGGACATTGGTCCTAGCAATATTTGGATCTTTCCTCAGGCAAGTACAGCAGTAGCAAAAAAAAAAAGAAAAGAAAAGAAAAGAAAAGAAACTACGTCAAACTAAAAAGCTTTTGCACAGCAAGGAAACCATCAACAAATTGAAAAGGCAACTTACTGAGTGGTAGAAAACACTTGCAAATGATACATCCAATAAGGGGTTGATACCAAAATACATAAAGAATTAATACAATTCAATAATAATTTAAAAAATCAATAGACATTTTTCTGAAGGAGACCTACAGATGGTCAGCAGGCACATGAAAAGATGCTCCACATCACTAATAGGCAGAGAAATGCAAATCGAAACCACAATGAGATACCACTTCACATATGTCAGAATGGCTGTTATCAAAGAGACGACATAGCAAATGTGGAGAAAAGGAAACCGTCATTCCCTGTTGATAGGAAAGCAAATGGTGCAACCACTATGGAAAACAGTATGGAGGTTCCTCAAAAAATTAAAAATAGATTTGCCAATCTAATAATTCCACTTCTGGGCATTTATTTAAATGAAAATAAAAATACTAATTTGAAAAGATATATACACCCCTTTGTTGCAACATTAATTAGAGTAGTCAAGATATGGGAGCAACCTAAGTATCTGTCAGTAGATAAATGGATCAAGTAGATCTGACACATATACAGTGGAATATTATTCAGCCACAAAAAGATGAAATAATGGTGATTTGTGAGAACATGCATGGACCTAGAAGGTACATGCTAAGTGAAATAAGTCAGGCAGATACCATATGATTTCACTTATATATGGAATCTAAAAAAAAAAAACAGATAAACAAAGCAGAAACAGACACAGATGCATAGAACAATCTGAGTTGCCAGAGGGGATGGCATTGGGGATGGGCAACATAGGGGAAGGGTATTAAAAGGTACAAACTCAGTTATAAGGTAAGTA